TGCGAGTCTCGGTGAATGCCACATCCTCTTTCTGCCGTACTTGGCCTCCATCTCACCCAGTTGCTACCTTCGTCGTTCTCTGCACCAACCGGCCTCTGCAGCACTCCTGTCTGCAGGTACGCGTCTGCCTTACGTGTTGACTTCCGCACCTGGGCCTCTCAGAGTCGGAACGTCAGAGGCGTGTCTTACAGATACCGTGCCGTGCAGAGCCCGAGACATGCACAGACCGTGTTCGTCAGTGACACACTACATAAGAAACAGTCCGAGAGATACCGCTCCCGCAACGCATTAGGTGGTGGAATTTTGAAAATTTTCAAAATTTTAAAAAACCCAAAAAATGCTGGAAATTGACCAAAAAGCGCACAAAACCAAAAATATTTAAATATTTCACTTTCAAAATTTTTTCAAAAATTTCAAAAAATTTGTTTTTGTGGGCTTTTCAGACAATTTCCAGCATTTTTTGATTTTTTAAAAAAATTGAAAATTTTAAAAGTGTATTTTTTTAGTTTTGTGCGGTTTTTGGTCATTTTCCTACATTTTTGATTTTTTAAATTCATTGATTAATTTCTTTATTTTTCCAGAATTCTGTCCATACGGTCCCTGCAAAAACCGGTCTCTGCATGACCCGGTGTTTGCCGCACACTGTGTCTGCCGGACTCGGTCTCTGCACGAACCGTTCTCTGGATCATTCGATATCTTCCAGGCCGTCTGTGCAAAGACCTGGTTCGTCAGAGCCCGGGTGAGGCACAGACCGAATCAAGCACAGACAAGTTTAAGACAGACAGAATCAGCAAAGACCTTTTGAGTCAAAGATACCGAGTCAAGGATATACCGGGTGAAGCATACACCGTATCTAGAAAAGGGTGTTGAGACCCACTCCGATTCTTTCAGAGACCGGGTGAATCAGAGACGGAGTCAAGCAGAGACCTGGTGAATGACACCGTGTAAAGCAGACACCGGTTGTGGCACAGACCGAGTCCGGCTCAGACTGTATGAAGTAGACAGTGGCAGAGAGCGGGTACGGCAGAGACGTTCTAATAGGGATGGTTTATTTCAAACTTAGAAAAAATACCTTCCAATTTTTACAAAAATATTAGAAAATCCAAGAAATGATGCAAAAATTTGATTTTTTTT